GGGGGGGGGCTTCTCTCCTTGCAGAGTGAGGGAAGGGAAGGGGTGCATCCACTTTCTCAGTGCCTTCCTTCCCTTCGTCTCAGCAGGTATGGTGCTCGAAGCTGCAGCTGCCAAGCTCAGAGGGGGAAACTAGGGGGCTTCTCCTGCAGGAGGAAGGACGGTTTCTGTGTGGGTGCACCTTGGTTCAACAACTTTTCAAATATACACATCAATAAAATATCACAAAAAACATTGCATCCACATAAATTCCTCCATATTACATCAGATGCAGATGTTTCTTTCTGACGTTTCATCAGCATCTGTGGCTGGCATCTTCAGAGATTCTGAACATGGCCACACAGCCTGAAAAACCCACAAAAAACTATGGATGCCGGCCATGAAAGCCTACGACCTCAACATTTCTAGTGCCACATGGTGGAGATGCTCAGGGCTGAATCTGAGACATACATGGCATGTTCTCCACCACTGATCTAAAGTCTTTTTGGATGCATTGTTGTTTTTATCACTTAATAATAATAATAATAATAATAATTTTTATTTATAACAAATTAAGTGTTACAAAGAAAGTATCTTTCAAAAATTGCAGAAAGTGTTACAAAGAAAGTATCTTTCAAAAATTGCAGAAGGATTTCAGTAGTTATGTAACATTTAACCTGTTCCTAATTATGAAACTGAAAAACAAATGTTGCAAAAACTAGTCTGTAGTTTTTACACTTTCGCAATATCCCAGCATTTCACTGGTCCCAGAAACCTTTAAATACTCGTGTGTTACATCCCCCCTTCAGTCCCAGTGTGTTGTCTTCTCTAGTGGTGGCAAGTTCCAGTTGAATCTTCAGCCATGAGACTCATGTACCTTGTCTTTGGGCTGCTGTGCCTGATGATGCTGGTTGTTCCAGGTAATGTGCTATCTGTTGACCCCATACTGTACAGAGTGAGATTTTGTCAAATGTGTTGAGACAGGACCTATTCTCTGCTGTGTTGGAAATTCCAGCTATGTTGAGGCTCAGTTCTAATATCTGGAGAATACGGGAAATAAAAGGATGGGATGAATGAGAATGTTAACACATTATATAGGTAAGACTGGTAGTAGAATCTGGGAACCAATTGCCTCTGGGCATGTGAGTTTGGTTTGTAGAGATTTAGGAGATTATTGCACACCTTTTTTCACATGGGCTGGGCATGGCTTAAATAGGTGAAAATGGATTTTCTCACATGCACCCATGCCCAACTCAGCCACATTGTGAACCTGACCCAAACTCCTGGCATACTTTTTGAAGAACGATACTTTCCTGTTCACCAAAAAAGTACACCAGAAGTCCAGATTGGGTATGAGATGCGGCTGAGTTGGGCACAAAGGCATGCAATAAGATTCATTTTCACCTGTTTAAGCCTGTGCCCAGCCTGTGCCTGGAATGGGTGAAAAAAGGAATGCAATAATAGTCACAGACTCACAAAATCCTAGAACTGGAACTTGTTGAAACGTTTCTTGGACTTTTGTTTTTTTTAAAGAAACAATGGGAAAACCTCACTTGCTAGATTATTGTATCAGACTGTCTCAAATCAAAAGGCTCAAGAGGAGCAATTTTTTTCTCATTGTATTCTTGAAATCCCAGTTCTGATTCTTTTTTGGGGGAATAAATATAGAACTTCAGCTACTATAGTAGTTGAGCTTTGCTGGGCATGGGTGGATGTCTGTAAGAGTCTGTGTGTATGCACAGAAGGCATACAGGGTCATTTAAAAGTTGGTCCTTTAAAATTTAGGATCATATAGAATGTTCCCTACACTACATAGTCATACTAGTTATATGTCATTTTAACTATCTGTCCCATGGAATTCCAGGATTTATTATTTGGGGAAGAACTTAGAATTCTCATCTAGAATGGTTTCTAGTCCACTCTTTTGAACTGTAGTTCTCTAGCAGAAAATTTCTACCACCTCACCACCAAACCACAACTCCCAGGATTCCATAGGTTAGAGTCTTGGCAATTCAAGCAGGTTCAAACCACTTTTCATATGTGGCATAGATATACTATATGTTGCAGGAGCAACAACTTGCCTCCAGCTAACCATTCGTGCTTTCTTGGGGGTTATTTGTTTTAAGAATCAAAAGGTGCATTTTCACAAAATATTTTTTAAAAATGAAAATACTGAAATCTGTTTCCCAGCTCTAAGGGACATTATCACAGATATCTGTTAAATGAATGGTGCTTGTCTTTCTAAATGTGATAGTGCAGGTATGTATTTGGAAAAGAGATGGAAAAGACTTGACATAAATTGAATGTTTGAAATTGTGTGCAACTCTATGTTAGTGAAAGTTAACATGACTGGA